GCATGTACCCTGGGAACGCCTGCTTTTGTAGCTCAAAATTCTGGGTCAGGATCTGTTCTAGCTCTGACAGTGGCTTCCTTGCTGCATCCCCACCTGCAATCACCCGCAAAGGGGGGGTCAGCCCCACCACCAGCGGCTCTTTGAATTCAGGCCTGTCAAAATCGAGGGGGGACTCCTTAGAACCAGGCAGCCCTGCCATCTGATAGAGCATCTTTTTACGGTTGACATAGGCATCTGGCCGCTCCTCAGGGTTCTGCTTCTCTTGGTGGAAGAGCACCAAGGGGTTGACCTCTGGGAAAAACACCTTTAGCACAGCTGACTGGACGTCCCCGATATCCTGGACGTTGCCCATTTGCACATCCCCTGGCAGGGCCGCGAAATCATCAGGTTTCATGCACTTCCTCACCACGTCTATCAGGTCACTGACTGCACTGCCGCTCTGGCACCGGGGCAGCCTCTGGGCCCTGGACAGCCAGTTGACCGCTGTCTCTTTGGTCAGTGGCCCCAGCATTTTTCCCACCGTCTTGAGCTGCTCGGGGGTGAACCAAAGCATGGCCCGGTTGGTATCGATGGCCTGCAGTGGGCCATGGCTGACTGGCTCATCGGGAGGACTTTTCTTAGTTTTAGCAGACTCTGCTTCATTGCCCTGCAGCTGGCACACCTCCTCCCGCAGGGGAGCATATGGGGATGGCCTGGTGGGGCCGTTGGCCCCCCACACATCATCCTCATAGTCATAGTGGGGCGGGTGTGGATCAAGACAGTCATCCCCCTCGCCGTTCCCGAACCGGCTCCTCTTGCCCTGAATGGCAGCCACAATGCCCCGCGACACCCCCAGCTCAGCCTGCAGCTCCTGGATCTTGGCATGGCAAACCTTGTGATCAGGGCCAGTGCCGCGGTCCCGCTGGGCATCCTGCAGGACAGCCCGCACCGCGCTCTGCGCATCATGCGTCTCCCCAATCCATTTGCCCACCTCCTTCTCTAACTCCTCTGTTTTCAACTTCTCATAGCCCAGCTTGCTCTCCAGCCGGGTAATCTCCACCGCGCTCCTCAGCGAGTCCCCACACAGACCCTGAACCTCTGCTCTCAAGTTATCCACCTGCATCTTGAGCTCGCCCTTGGCCTGCTCCAGTGTCTGCACACTCTCAAGAGCCTCCTTAAGCAACTTCGACAACTCCCTGCCCACCATCAGTAAACCCTGCAAGGCCGCTCTCTTTTTGCACTTGTTAGTGGGTTTGGGCTTTTTGTTCTCCTCGGACCAGCTCTCCCACTGCTGACACAGCTGCTGGTACGCCTCGGGGCCCTGAAAGGCCCCAGGGGACCAAATCGGAGGAAGACACTTCTGGAGCACAAATTGCTCCAGCTTCCAGTTGCTAACAATATCAGACATCATAGCGAGAGTTGGGGTGTCGAGCTGAGAGACGACTGCGTTTCACAGCACAACTACCATAACACCGGGACCCCACGGACCCACAAACCAACCCTCCAAAAAGCCCCACGACCTCCCTGGGACACCAAACCCAGCAGCAAGGGAAGGGGCAGGGGGGGACAAGGGGACAGTGGGGGACAGGGGACCAAGGCCTAGCAGGCGGCTGCTGCGGCCTGCCAGCACCCGGGGTGCGGACAAAGAGGAGGAAAAAAGGAGTACCCCGATAATAAGATCTCACCAATCCTCGTCCAGATGCACTGGGAGTCCCGGGGACCTGGGGATGGATGCTGCAGAGCTCCGCTGGATCCGGCACCTTTAGGGTCAAGGTGCTGGTGGGGTCTCAGACCCAGCAGCTCTTTATAGCCATGGCAGACCGTTGTTTGGGGATGATATCGCCTGTTTGCTTCCTCGGTGCCTTTCCCTCCCTCAGGTGCGGCATCTCCACCCCTATCTTCCCAAGGACAATTTATTTGGCTTCTCTTATCCTCTCCGGCACTGATAACCACAGAGCAGGTGCTCTGCTCATTATTTTTTTTTTAGGGGGGCCGGATTAGTCACTGCTCCATCTCAAGAAGTTCTGCTTGCACCAAGAGCCCTCAAGAGGGAGATCTGGAGCAGCCACTGCCACCTGTTCCTGACCATCCGTACATACCCCAAGATTCCCCTCATGACCCACTTGCTTTCTGCACCTCTCTGCTAGCCCTTCAGCCTGAGGGACATCACACCTGGGCCCCAAACCATCTGAACCTGTAACACTTGCTGCCCCCTCAATTTACGCAATGAATATTTCACATCCATTTTATCTTTAACTTCAGCAGCAGAATTTCAATGCTGGGAACCTTCCAATTGCACACGGGTGGGTAGCTGGGGGTGAAAGCCTGCTCCCCCATTGCATGGAGGGGGGCTAAGCCCTGCTGCTGCATCAGCTGAACTGCAGCTGGAGGTCTGCAGCTGCAGACAAACAAAGCCCCGGCTTCACCCCACAAACCACACCGCAGCTCAGAGCCCTGCACACCACTCGGCCCGCTTCGTTTTCCTCTGCCATTACATAGAAAAGGGCAGATTACTCATTCTCCTGTCGTTCTCAGTGCTGCTTCTCTCCCTCCCTCCCCCCAAGTACTAACTCATTAAAAATAAGAAAAAAAAGCAAAAATGCTCCCATGCAGCTACTTGAGCGCTGGGGATTACCCACTGGGGACCCCACCACCCTATGATCCTCTATCTCCAATAACTGCATTCCTGGCTGTGCTTAACTGGGCTCAAGGCTGAGCAGCACCCTCCAGTTCCAAAAATCCTGTAGCCCAAAAAGCACTGAGGGTGCAGCTTTGTCCTCGTTTTTTATGCCCAATATCTGCATTTGTGGCTACTGAGGGCAGCACAGCCCCCTGGATCCAACCATCCCTGGTGGGCAGTTCCCCTCTCCAGCCCCTGCATGCTCAGCACAACCTGGCTCATGGCTCTGCTGCAAAATGGGATTTCAGTAGAGCTGGGGACCCCGCTGAGCCATGCTTCTTCACTGCAGACCTCTTCTTTCCCGATGCTTTGCTCTAGTTCCCCAAAGCAACACATTTTGTTGGAAAAAAGACACCGGGGGGGGGGGGGGGGGGGGGGGGGGGGGGGGGAGGGGGGGACGGGGTGGAAAGGGGGAGAATAGAGTTGGAAATGTAACAAAGCTGGCAAAGGACCAGGAAATTGGTGCTGGGAAGGTGAGATGAGGGGATGGGCAAGGAGCAGATCTGCAGGGAGACTGTGGAGATGGGGCAGGGATGTGGCTGTGGCTGGGCAGAGGATCGAGAAGGTTGGCTTTCACTGTATATATTAAAGACTTAAATCCCAATAGAAACTGTGAGGCAAGTAGCATAAACACATGAAAATTCAAAGATTCCCCTCCATCTTGCCCCAGCCACCAGCAAGGCTCATGATTAGGGTCCCACGGGAGCCGCTGTACCCCAGCAAGGTCACAAACACCTCTTGTTTGTGTGAACAGATGGGTTCAGCTCACCCCCCCTGTGCTCTTCCCAGACAGCAGCCCCAAACAAAGCGGGGATGTGATAAGCACCACCTGGCTGCCTGCACGCTCCCACGGCACTGGGGCTGTTGTTGAAGATGGGCTGCCAGACACAGGCATCCCACCTCTGGTGTGTTTACTGGTAGCAGCACCCAGCCCTGAGAACCATGTCATTTTGAGCAAAAAGAGAAAAAGAAAGCCATAAAACTGTTCCAGCATTAAGCTTTTACAATGTTAATATTCTTCTTTTCTTTCCATTGGACAAATGTAGGTTAAAATCTGCAGGGAAGTATCTCTAAAACTGCTATAATCATAAGATCATTTGAGTTGGAAGGGATCCTTAAAGTCCATCTAGTTCAACCCCCCTGCAATGAACAGGGACACTTACAGCTCCATCAGGTGCTCAGAGCCCAAGGAACCCTCAAAACTCATCTGCTTCAACAAGCCACTGTCACCAACCTTCTGGCAGCATTTGAAGCCCACAGTAATGTGCCCTGTGCCCAAGGCTGTAACAGTGCTTACTTCACCTCTGGGAGCACTCTGGTCCTGGCCAGGAGGTCAGAAGATGGGCAGGGGTTGGCAGACAGAGAGGTGGAAAAGGGGGGACCCAGCCATGGCAGCAGGCAGGACAATTCATTTGCAGTGGAAAAGCTCTCTTGCAGTTGCACTTCTTAAATGAGGGCCCTTGATAAAAAAGGTCCCCACAGCCTCTATGGTAGGTCCTCATATGAGAGTGCTCATTAGCACCAGGTGCTAATGAGGGGAGCCAGCCCCAGTGGGGGACAACCTTTTGAGTTCACTGCAGCCTTAATGAGAACAGTGCACTCCGTCACTCCCTGAAAATGCAATTAAAATCTGCCTGCCTTGTCTGAGTCACTGCGTTGCAATTCCCCTCCCCTGCCCTGCAGCCAGGTGCTCTCCCTTCCCTTTATGTGCAGCTTGGAGTTGGGGTCACTCTCCTTTGGGGCCATCCCAAATCTCCCACCATCCCAAAACCTCTCAGTGCCCTCCTGATGGCCTCCACCCAAAGGCACCAGCAATGAGCAGAAATTATAGAGAATGAGGTGCTGCCAGCACAGCTCTGATGGATGGCTGCACCCTCTGAGAAGGGCTGTGCACTTAAAGGAACGAAACGAGCTGGAAAGCACTGAAATGACCTCTGGGCTGCTCCTTCCAGGAAAGAGTTAAGGAACGATTCAGCCGACCCTATATTTTACCCTTCACCGCAAGGCTCTGAGTGGTTGTAGCAGGAAATTGTATTAAACAGAAGGGTGGGGGGGAAACATGTTAGAGCAGCACAGAAAAATCTGGTGAAAAGGTAAAAAAAACTACACCAGATGAGATGGAAAATCCTCTTTTCCCATTCATCTGACAACTCACAGCTCCAGGGGGTCCCCAGTGGAGGGAGTGGAGGGAGGAGGAACCCCAAAGCCCCCCCAGAGACCCTGTGGGCATGAGCCAGGAGGGAAACCCAGCAACCCTGGATGAGGAGCTGCGAGATATGGGCTAGTAGCTTGTGGTAGCAGTGGTAGTGTGAAGACGGTTGGACTAGATGATCTTATAGGTTGTTTCCAACCTTGTGATTCTATGATTCTATGATTCTTTGATTCAAAGAGAGAGAAGAAAACGACAGCACACAAGACATTTCTTCCCAAAGAAATACTGAAAGCTTGCAAGCCCACCGCTCCCTGCACTTTCACACCATGCATTTCACTGCTCAAATCCCAAACCATTCCTGCTTCAAATCCTTCACCTATGACTTCAATATTTCTGCAAATGAGGCACTCGGTGTCAAAGCTCAGGGCCAGGTGGGGAGCCTGAGAAGAATTTCCTTACTTTTGCGGTTTGTCAGCCACTAAATTTGTTTGAGGTTTCTTACTGTCGTCTTCAAAGTGTTCTGCGATGCCTCTCTCGTGTGCTTTGTGGAGAGCTCTCAGCATTTTCCAGGCCCAGGACGGAATGCCTCCTGCACAAGGACGGTTTGCTACGCGCTGAATCCCGGAGGCTGCAGTTAATTTTGCTTCCTTCTGCTGAAGCAAACGGCGGAGTGCCTGAAGTTGCATCTTCTCATTTAAAGCGCAAATTGATTTCGACAGAAAACAGCCAAAGGGTGTTGTTTTATTCATTTAGGGCCCTCTGAGCCATCTTGCTGCTCTCTGATAGCTAAGGGTCAGATTTTACAACAGGAGGAGATGCTAGATGGTGAAATAGGAGGAAATCATTAAAGAGCAGCAAGCCCAGCCCGTCGCCCTGACACCTGATTGTGAGAGCGGGGACTTCTCACCAGCCAGCACCAGCAGCACCTCCACATGATGTTGGACATGGCCACCATGGCCAGGCCATGGCTCTGGCTCTGGCTCTGGCTCTGCCTGCAGCTCCCAGGTAAGAGGGATATCTCTGGATGAGGGCAATTTAAATCGCTAGTCCCAGGATACAGCGATAGAGTAAGAGGGAATGGCCTCAAGCTGTACCAGGGGAAGCTCAGATTGGGTATTAGGGAGCATTTCTTCTCAGGAAGAGTGGTGAGGCATTGGAACAAGATGTCCAGGGAGGCAGTGGAGTCACTGTCCCTGGAGGTGGTCAGAAACTACGGAGATGTGGCACTCAGGAACATGGAAAGTGGGCATGGTGGTGGCAGGTGGTTGGTTGGACTGGATGATCTTAGACATCTTTTCAAACCTTAATGATTCTATGGTTCTGTAATTCATGTTATAAAAACACGATTGCAGGGGATATGGACTGAATGTACAGTCAGTGTACTTACACTACATATATTTAGTGTACGTAGAGTTGCCCCAGCGCAGTGGTGGGGTCACTCCAGGCTCCCCAAAACCCCAGCAGTTGTACCAAAAGTCCCAGATGGGGAAAATTAAATAACTGATTAGAGACACACAAGAAGGTGCCTTTGGGGAGAAAAGCACCACAGTATAATGGGGTTGGCTAGCTTCCCTCTGGACAAGATTGCAATAAATCCCAGTTTGCCCAACATGGGTAAAGGGGAACCTATTGGCCCCCATGGCTCCATTCCTGAGCTGCTGCCCCACTCCCATCTGACCCCCTGCTCCCAGCCGGACCCCTCACCAGGATGGGGCACTCAGGGCCAAGCAGATGCTGTGCAGGTGGGCTTGTAGGGCTGGAGCTGCACGGGGCGGTTTGCAACAGTGGCCATGGAGGTTTGAAGGAATACATAAATTTTAAGGCAAATAAAAAGGGGAAAAGGGGCTCTGTTCAGCTTTCTGCATGGCTCTAAATCTCACCTGGGAAACAGGCAGGGGAAGGGAGAGCATCCTTATCTCCTGAGGCTGTTTTTCACAGGAGCTGTGCAGCTGCACAAGATTATTTGTTGAACACAAAGCACTGCTTCAGCTCCTGTTTTCCTTCCCCAAGGCCGTGCCAGCTCGCTCCTCTCACACACAAACACCACTCCTATCTGCCCAGACCTGAGATAATTTTTCCACAGTACCTGCACAGCCCAAACAAGGCGATGCAACGCCAAACCGAAGCTTTCAAATCCTTTTGCTACCTTTGAGTTGTTCTCTTTTTCCAAATTGCAAAATTCTTATGAAAAAGAGCCATCCAAAAATAAATAGCAAATAAAATGAAGTGTCATTATCTTTATATTCATTTTCCCAACATTTCCAAATTTTTTCTGCCATTTCTAGAGATGTGTCTTAGGAAGAGACCAACACATCCCACAGCAACAGCTCTGGAGATGTTCAGGTTTCTAGCTACAAAACAAAGAAATAATCTAGAAGTTTTAGCAACTAAAATGAGGGAGTGAAGGGGCTCAAAAGAGTCTCTGGATTCCAAAACTGAGAGAATACAAAAAATACAGCACTCTTAAAATTCTTAAAATCATTCCTTCATTCCTCACCGAGCTCCGTCTCTAGATGAGTGGTTGTGGGGTGATGTATGTGGTTTTACCAAAATAGATATAATAATAATTATTATTTTTCCAAAAAGTAGCTGGGAACCCAAAAAGGCCTCTGAAGGAATATCACAGAACCACAGACCAGGCTCTGAGCACCTGATGAAGCTGTAGGTGTCCCTGTTCATTGCAGGGAATTTGGACTAGATGACCATTTAGGGTCCCTTCCAACTCAAATGATTCTATGATAGAATCATTGAACATCGAAGTTGGAAGGGACTCATAAGGATTACTGTGTCCAGCTTGTAACACAGGCTGATGCTTCTGCTAGATGGGCTCTGGTCTGATGTTAGTTACTGAGCATAGAAGGAAAAGTTAGGCTGGTATTTAAGAGACAAGTGGACGTGGCACTAAGGGACACGGGTCAGTGGTGGGACACGGTAGGTCAGGCTGATGGTTGGACTTGGGGATCTTGAAGATCTTTTCCAACTTATGGTTCTAACAAAGGTGAAATACACAACTCTGTGTTCCTGCCTCTTTTTGTAGGTTTCTGTACAAATCTACTTTCATCCCAGACTCCAGGGCGTATCTTAGCCCAAACAAACAACAGCACAGAAATCGTCTGCCCTATGAAGAGGGAGCACACTGGGCTCTACTGGTACCGCTGGAACCAGGGCAGGCAACACTTTGAGTTCCTGCTATTTTCCAATCCCCTGGGAAAAGCCACTTATGGCACAAATATCAGCCAGGAGAAGTTCAGCATCCACGGGATGAGTTCCCACTCCTCCAGTCTGCGCATCAGCCGGCTGCACGGCTCCGACAACGGCACCTACTACTGCTGTATCATCCAGTCCTCCGAGCTCATCCTGGGCGCTGGGACCCAGCTCAGCGTGGGTGAGCATCGCTCCTGGGGCTCCAAACCGTGCGGCAGTGGGCTGGGATGAGGGGAGCATGTTGGGGTATGAGCCTTCCCAATCTGGAGGTGTAAGACTGGGGCTCTGGGGTCAATGAGACGGGATAAGTCAGAAAATGCAGCAAAGAGCTACCCTGCATTTCTTGGTGGGCTTCTGGGGAGACAAACAACATGAATTGAGATGCAGCTATAGATGCTGGCTCTAAAACACCCCTTCTTGCTTTTTGCACACATACCCCACATCTCACATTCATTGTGCTGTCTCAAAATTGCCTTTGGAATTGTTGCTGCTTCAAAGAGAAGCTGATTTCAGATAAAGGAGAACTGTTTTTTTATTATTTTTTTTATCAACTATGCACCTATCTATGTCCCAAAAGCGAGGCATGAAAAACATGGCTGAAATTCAGCACCATCAAGGACACTCCAATTTAAAACTAAGCCCCAGCAGGTGGCTGGAAAAGACTCAACACTGCAGAACATTTTTTTTTTTTTTTTCCCTTCAATAGCCAGGATAAAATAAATCATCTCTAAGTTTCCCTAGATCTATCATTTTATTAGAAAAAATAATGCAGTTTTGAGCAACAACTGCAGTAATGTGAATACAGAAGAGACCCCTGAAAACCCCCTGTGCTGCTGCAATCCCTGTGCTCCTGTGTATGGGGCTTGGGGTTGGAAACCAACAAGCAGTGATGTAAAACCTTAAAATAAATTATGAGGCTGTGCCTGGCTGTAAGCATGGCTTGGGGATTTTTTCCTTTTTTCTGCTTCAATCCTGCCTGTGTTTTCTCACTTAGCTTTTTATTAAAACTAGGGACTTTCTCACCACTGCTCCTGACACCCAACCCCTGCAATCTCAAATGGTCTCAAGATGTTTTTTGTTGTTGTTTATTTAGAGATCCAAAGAGCTCTCAATTGTAATTAACATCAACGTTTGCAACGGTGCAACCTGGCACGGCTGCCCAGAGAAGCTGTGGGTGCCCCATTCCTGGAGGTGCTCAAGGCTGAGTTGGATGGGGCTTTGGACACCCTGGTCCGGTGGGAGATGTCCCTGTCTATGGCAGTGGATTGGAACCATATGGGCTTTAAGGTCCCTTCCACCAAACTATTCTGTGATTCTATGCTGTGTGTAGTTTTAAAAGCTGCCGTTTCCAGCCACCTCCTGCTTGCTGTGCTCAGCACGACGTTGACACTCTTCTACCTCTCTCCCAAACAGTCGATGTTTTGCCTCTGCCTTCAACGCTGGCCCCATTCACCAAGAAACCCATGCGATGCAAACCCAACAGCAAAGCCATCAACAAGAAAGGTACAGGAATGCGTTGGCTCTGGCTGCTTCACGGAGAGCTTTGCTCCAGAAGCAATGCCCTGGGATCTACATGGGTGTAGGGGCCAGGAAGGATTTCCTTTTAGCTCTAGTGCTCCCCAGGGGTATAGTTCACCTGGATGCAGCATCAAGTGGATCCCTGCACCAGCAAGAATGCCACAAAAAAGGTTATCAAAACCCAGAGCTAAACTCCCCGTGATGCTTTTGATTTAGCACATCCTCAAGGGATACTCTGGGGTAATGCTCATGGCCTCACCCCTTCCAAGAGCAAGATCTTCCTCACCCCATGTTCCTCCACCCGGGTAGGACAGTGCTGCAGTGCTGAGCTGAAGGAGCAGCTCCTCACCCTGTCCCCCATTGCAGGTGCCTGCAGCCTCCTGGTCTGGGTGCCACTGGCCGCCACTGCCCTGCTGCTCCTGCTGAGCCTGATCTCCACCATCCGCCGCTTCTATCGTAAGCATCATACCCTGACACAGCCTGGCATTGGGGTGGGGAGAGCTGGGGCACCCAAAACTGATTGGCACCATCTCCCCACAGGACTGCAGAGGAAGCTGTGGCTTCGAGCCAACAGAAAGTAAATCCTGCTGGGAAAAGCTATGGAGAATTGCCTGCGTGGTGCTGAGCCCTGCTGGGATGTGAGCCAGGGAGGACATTGCAGAGGACTGGATCATATCCTGCACTCTGCTGAGCCTTTCTCAAGGAGACTTTGGGAGCATAGCAGCTGGCTCTACACTGGGACTGGGGTACCAAATGGGTGCTGCTGGGCTGGAAAGATGCTTTGAGCTCTGTGCTGGTTGATGACTTTGGTAAGGAACACTTTGAGAGGTGGCTGCACACCTCGTAAAGATGTTAGAAAGGGTAAATATATCATTCAGCTCTGCAGGCTGGCGCCTTGTGGCCCTGATTTGGGTTGGATTTGGTCAACAAGGGACTACGAATGTGGTGAGGAGCTGGAGTGCGAGCAGGGGTTAAAGCCTGCAAAAAGCTGTGAGGGAAGCTCAGCCTGCAGACAGACACAGCCCGTCCCAAGGCCAAGCAACCGATGGAGCAGCAGCTGATAACAGACAGAGGAGCCCAACAGCACAGTAGTGCTCCAGCATGGGTGCTGAACCCCTGTGGCACGAGGGTGCTGAGCACAGGACGGCTTTCCTGCCATCTTAACACAGCAGCCAGCACACCTCTCCTAAGCTCCACCATGCCCATGACAGCACTAACCTCACCACCCCCCAAAAAAACCCTTTTATTTTTGATTTTAAGGAGAAAAGTCAGCCCCGAGTGGCAGTACCATGTTCCTGTTGCACAGTGGCCATGGTAGCTGGGACACAGGGATGGTCCCCATGCCACCAGGCACGTGCATAGCACTGGTTGTGCTCTCAGCACACAGAAAAGGCAACTGTTAGGAGTTTTATGTCATGCATTTTTAATGCAGTTGCCGTAATGAAACACCTTGAAGCTTTCTGTATGCAAAAGTTCATTCTGGCAAAAAAAAACCAAACAACTGAACTCAGTTCTGTGATGGGCATTCACCTGTGGTTCCTTTTCCATGGGAAAACCTGCAGCTCAGCTGTGTGCAATCACAGGAGAGGACAGACAGCAGCAGCCCAGGGCTCTGCACCTCCTTCTGAAACGCAGCTTTGTGCACTTCACCAAAGGAAACTATGAACAAAACCTGATAATGCCTCATCGCTTCAGTGGGGGGTTTTTGGGCAGTGAGCTTCAGAGATCTGAGCGTGTGGTTTCACAAATGCAAGAGCTGGTGGAAAAATCACTCCCCTTTCATAGACTTCTTACAGAGCATATGTAAGAAAGAAACAGGACCATTGATGAAAAGAAGCTTTCACACCTGAGAAAATGAGCCCCCAGCGTGTTTTCATTGTTGTTGTTGTTCTTAACCTAAAAGAAGCTGAAAACTCAACAACATGCAAAGGTCAGGGATGCTGCACTGCAGGGCGAGCGGGAAAAGGGTGTTTGTGGTGAAACCCCATGGAAAAACACGTGTGTGTGACTGCTGAAGGCAGCGAGCAGAAAGGCCTTGTGGTCACAGTGTCACCCAATGATGTCCTCCAGGTGGTGCTCGCCTATTTCTTCCTCATTTCACATGTCCTCCCTGATACCCTCCAGCCTTCTGCCCCCTCCTCCATGCATGGAAGCAGGCTCACAGCAGCCAGAGCTGCTGAATGCCCACTTATACGTGCAGTTATACATATATATACATATTATTTCATATATCTTGACAGTTATATATATTTTGACAGATACTTATAGAAAAAAAACCCACTCTGCTCCTGTATTATGTTTCCCTGTAGCTCTTCTGCACTATTTGCCCTCCCGCACTCCTGCCATGAACAAATCCCGGGCACCAGCACTGCAGACCCACATGGTGCAGCTGCAGGAACACGAAAATCACTCCCAGGCAGCCCAAGCACTTCCCTGGACTTTACAACTTCATTCAGTACACCAGAAATGCTGAGGCTGCACAGAAATAGATCTGAGCAGCAGTGGAAAAGCCATTGCAGAAATACACACCTTCCCTCTGGACAGTTTGTTTTCAGTTGGCTCACTCATCACTGATGTTCTAAGTATCACTGTGCTGTAACTTAGAAATGCTGCTCTTTGGATACACACTGAGTTTCCCTGGGCAAACCATGCCCTGCTGGCACTCCAAGGAGAGTGGCCCAGGAGGCAACAGTGGATCCCATCCCACTGTACAGAGCCCAGGCTGTCACCCCAAGGAGATGCTCTCCTGGTCCCCAACCCCATGTCTTTCCTCTCCACTATTACTGGCCTCACAAACCAAGGCAGTTTGCCAGATCCAACACCCTTTTTTTTTGCTTTTTGAGATCCAATGGGTCAACAGCCTGCGGGGTTTTACAGCTGAACTTGTGTATGCATCTCCTTTATACTGAATGTATACACGCTCAGAAAACGGGTTCATTCTCCATGCAATGGTGACCACGTGGAAGAGATGGACCCTGTCCTTCTTCTGTGGTTTAGAGGACAGTGATGCTGGGAGGGCCATGCAGCGCTGCAGGGTTCATTCCTCAGGATAAATGCCCTTGTGAGACCAACAGCTAAGTATGATTCATCTGCTCTGCATTCAAGAATTGGATAATTGGAAAATTAATAGTGTTTCAGAGGAAATGGATATGGAGTTTTGTAGCAAATGGCTTCTTTAAAATGACACACTGTAATGAGATCGTATATTTAAGAACATTAAAAAGACAGGTTTGATTCGGAGCACATTCAGGTACATCCAGATCACTGTTCTGTCTCCAAACAGACGGCAAAGGAATAATGACAAGACAATCATATATGATATATCCCCTTATTATTCAAACCTTTTCACTGAAGGTGATTTCCTGAGCCTGGTGCCATCTATCGAGTAACTCACAACAAACCTCTTTTCCAAGTGCTTGTCCAGGTTCTGCATACTCAGAACTCTTCAGCAAGGATATCTGTGGGTGATGGATGACTTCTTTAGATTTAATCCTGACCATTAGCAGCTTCAAATGCTGCCCCTTATTTTCTGTATTGATAGGAAGAGGCAGCGGGTACTCAAGCCCCTTCCATACCATCCTGCCGGTCACAAATCCGGAGACCTCAAGTGAATACTCATTTAGACCATGTATTTTCAAGCTAACAAGTCTTAGCCTGCATACTCCAAATCCATCTCAGACAGCCAATCCTCCTTTTTGCCCTTTTCTGAACTTTTTCTGATCCTACTACTTCTTCAAGTCTCCTCTTTGAGACAGCGTGAGATCATCCCACAGCATTCAAATATGTTTGGTGCATTGGAACATGGATTGGACTGACCATGGATTGGACCACTGGAGCATATGATGTCATCACTGGATTCTCTCTGGTAGAAAGATTCATAGAATCATAGAATCACCAAGGTTGGAAAAGACCTCTACCATCATCCAGTCCAACCACCCACCTCTCACCAGTATTCTCCCAATAAACAACATCCCTCAGTACAACATCTAAACATTCCTTGAACATCTCCAGGGATGATGGTGACTCACCACGTCCCTGGGCAGCCTGTGCCAGTGCCTGATCACACTTTTGTAGAAGAAATTTTTCCTAACATCCAACCTGCATCTCCCTTGGTGCAACTGAAAGCCTTCCTACCTGTTAACATCTAATTTGCTTCTAATTTCCAAGTAAATTTGCTGCTGAGTGTTGAGTTGATGTTTACCAGTCTCAACCCAGATTTTCTCTCCTGAGTGGCAATGTTTGGCTCTTTGTCTTATGGCAAAGCCAGGACTGACTTTGCTTGTATGTATCACTTCACATTCATCTATTCTGAATTTCACCTGATCCTTTATCACCCAGTGTCTGATAGATCCTTTTACAGTTCTATATTTACAAGGCATAAATGTAAGAAAATTAATTGCATGAAAGTAATGTTTGCAGGTTATGTCTTAAACATGAATTGTTGTACGACAAGCAGAGTCCAGCGCTCACAAGCACAGGGCAGCAATTCTAGGGGACCCAGTACGGGAAACAGCAGTCAAACGCTCCTCTTCACAGCAGTGGTGGGCACCAGGCTGCTAAAAGTGAAACCTAGCACTGAATTTAGTTTGTTTTGTTGATGACAAAGGGGTGCATTAAGGCAGCCTCTTTTGAATAAGATATCCTGTTTGAGGGTTGTGTTCACAGCTTTCATTCTACAGTGAAGGTTGTTGGCTTTTTTTTTTGTTGGTTTTTTTTTGTTGTTGTTGTTCCAAGTTAATGCAAAATCTAGAAGAAATAACAAGGCAGCCAACACTACAAAACAGATGAAGCAAAGCCATAGGTTTCCATACAGCCAGCACCACTGGCAGGAAGGATGGACAATCAGAATTGGGTCCAATTCCATTCCCTGAGCCATAACCAAGCACAGAAATTGAAGTTCCCTCCTAAGATGTTACCACTGAGGATGCATAGCAGTACCCTGCCCTGGGAAAGTTATCTTCCACTGCACAAATGGCCCCAGAAACCCCCTGGGTAATCTCCAGCTGGCTTTCCTTGTGCAAAGCTTTTAGGGAGGGCTGTGAGCTTCATTGAGGCACACTGACAAGATGTGACAGCACTCTGAATTGATGGAGGTGGGAGTAGGGCTGTGGGGATAACATCACGGCTATGAGAACCCAACAGAAATCTGACTGTGGGAATGGGGGGGCTGCAACAGAAGGTGGGAATTGTAAGTGAGCCCATATCACCAATTAAAGACTGGAACTGCAATTCAGACAAAAGTGGATGCATTGGAACAATGTCCATCATCATTGTTTTCCTGAGGAAAGCCCATAGGTGGTGCTGGAAGGCATACAGCCTTGAGATTCAGTGCAGAACTACAGAAAGTCTCTGCAGGGTGCAGGAGATCAGAGCTGCAGAACAACATATCAGTTGCTCCTGCCTCCAGCTGCAGCTGTGCTGTAGCAGCGAATTGTCACCGGCTCCCAAAAGGTGGCAGCATTGGTGCTGATTTACCGACTGGCTGTACTTCCCTGTAAGGCATCCAGACATGAGGTGCACAAAGCCTGTGCAAAGCAACCTGCTGGTGCAAAGCTATCGTCTTGCACGAAGCAAACCCTATTACATTCGGCCCTGGTATCAAACTCTCAGCCTAGGCCTCAACAAGCAATATTTGTGTGGTGATATCTGACCTACTGATCGGGTTATAGGGCAGCACCATGGGGGGTAGGGGGCTGAGCACACAGGTGCAGTTGTGGTTTGCAAACTGTATTTTAAGGCATGTGAGGTTTACAGTAGGAATATCCAGCATGTAGTGTGGGTGCTGTGCTGGAAACACGCAGTGGAAAGATGTGTGAGTGGTGTGTGAGGGCTGCACTTGAGATTTTCCAAAGCCCTTCAGAGCTGCAGCTCTGCAAAGAAAAGGG